CTCAAACTGCCAGCAAGGGAAAATGGTTTGAAGGGAAAGCATGTGGACAGAGACCTTAAACCTGAGCTTCATCTCCGTGCCATCCTTCTGACCTCTACATACACACTGTGGCACTCGTGCCTACCCACACCCACAGCAGTAATAACAATAGCAATAATTCTATTCACTGGATGATAATAGTCTAACCATCTACAGCTTCAAATTCCATTCTACCAAAAGTGAGTTATCAAAAGAAAAATCAAAGGAAGCCTGTGTCAGAAAGACCTGTAATCCCAGAAGTTAGAGAGCTGAGGCAGGAGGATCCCTGCAAATTTGAGGCCGTCCTAATTCACAGCTTGGAACATGCCTGTCTAAAACAACAAATGGGGGTTGGGCGCAGGGACGGCGAGGCGTGCCAGGAAGCAGGGGAAACCTGTGTTGTGGGACTTGAGCAGGGTGGACATCAAGGTAAGTCACTGGAATACAGGAAACAGAGAGCAGAGGCACCGTCCACAGGTACTTGGAGAATCCTCCAGCCCCAGCCAGATTGCAGGCCTATAACCCCAGCTACTCAGATTGAGAGTTCAAGGCTTGTAGGATACCAAATAAAGTCAAGACCAGATCAGGTGATTTAGTGAGACCCTTGTCTCAAAATTAAAAGTAAAAAAAAAAAAAAAAGCTGGTGAGGGAAGGGAAGTGGAGACAGCTCCTTCGGTACAGTACAAGCATGAGGACATGAGTTTGATTCCCCAGTAACCACATAAGATCCCTGCGGACTCTGCATACACTGCCCAGTGCTGGAAGGACAGAGACAAGAAGATCCTTAGATTTGCTGGCAAATCAGTTCAGTGAGAGATCCTGTCTCCAAAAATAAGGCAGAGAACCATTAAGGAAGACACTGACTTCAACCTCTGGCTTACACACAGGGACACAGACACACACACACACACACACACACACACACACACACACACGTGTGCACACATAGAAAACATACAGAGGGAGGCTGGAGCTCAGTGGTAGAGCACATGCCTAGATATGGAAGGAAGCCCTATGTCCAAGCCCAGCATTATGGGGGGAAATCTGCTCTATCTTCATGTGTGGCTCCCTGTTCCAAATACCAGAAAGGACATGATGGAATGTGCAAAGGCTACCACACGGATGTGACTGTTCTGCCAAGCTGAGCTGTGTCTGCACTATCACACCTTGCCTTGTCCTCACGCCCCTGGAACTTTGGTCAGGAAGGATCAGAACACTGAGGATTGCCCTGCAGCACTCCTGATACTGGGTCTGCCCAGCATGGACTTCAGTGCCCCAGGGAGAGCCCAACAGTCTCGGGGACAGCTTCACAGCACACAGCCAGCAGCAGCGCCAGCTTCCTCCACTCCTAAGGCCTGCAGTGCTGGAGAGCTGCTGAGTCAGGCATAAGTGTATGCCATATCAGTTAGGGAGCAGAGTCCCTGCTGTCTGTCTCCTGTGACAGGCTGCTGTTACATGTGGGCGAGAAGCCTTTGACTCCTGCAGCTTACCTACACAACAGATGAAGAAACTAGCCATGGGATGGGGTCACTTCTGATAGAAGTGGGTCCTCATGCCAGAGCCCGCTTTTTATTTAGCCTCTTCCCCACTATTAACCTTGTAATGTGGTCTAGCCTTTGGTCCTCAGCTACATCTTGGAGCTCCTGCCTCCTCGTCTGGAAGAGAATCCAGACCCTCACCTTTCACTTGGTCATTTCCCATCCATTCTTCCCCCACATCCTCTGACTCACAAAAATACCTCGGATTTTGATTCATCTTAATTGCATGCCTATGTTTGTGTGGTATCTGTGCATGTATATATGCATGTTTGCATGCGTGTGGGCATGTGTGTATGCCTGTGTAGCCTGGAGGTTACTGTCATGTGACTTCCTCACTACTCCCCATGATCTCTCACTTGAATAAAGCTCAGTGATTTGGATAGCCTAGCTAGCCAGCTTGCTTCAGAGATCTCCTGTCTCTCCTTCCCAAGTGCTGGGATTACAGGCAAGCAGTCACACTTGTGTGACATTTATGTGGGTGCTGGGGCTTCGAACTCCCGTCTTTACATTTGCACAACAAACACTTTATCTCCTGGGTCATCTCCCCTAGCTCCTGGGTTCACTCTTTCAAGTCATTTATCTCTAGTCTGATTATGGAAGTTTTTTTGATGGTCTTTGGCTAAGTTTCTTGGAAAAAAGTTTGACCCAAACCTTCATTTGAGAGACCCGAGAAGTGCACACCCACCTGACCAGTAGAACCAAAGACTTATCTTGTCTTAGCACACTCTGTGATCTTTCTTTCTTTTTTTCCTTTCTTTTTTCTTCTTCTTTCTTTTCCATATTCTTCTCCTTCTTCTTCTTTTATGTTTTTTTTTTTCAAGACAATGCTTCTCTGTGTAACCTTGGCTGTCCTGAACTCGCTTTGTAGATGAGGCTGGTGTTAAACTCACAGCAATCCACCTGCCTCTGCCTCCTGAGTGCTGGGATTACAGGCTTGAACCACCACCACACCTGGCCACTTTGTGCATTTTTAATAAGACTTTCCACAAAGTGAAATCACTGTGTTCTGGTCTATCAGGGTGAAATGTAAATACATGTCACTATTTTCCCAGAAAAGTAACAATAGTCCTCTGGGAGGCACACTTTTTTTCAACTTTCACAAAAACATTATTAAAATAATGGCAGTAAACAAATTCAAGAATGTAGAAGATATAAAGAGGTAAGGTGAGTTGTTGCAGGAAGTTTAAATGTAAATGGAAAACTTTATTTCTGGACAAGATAGAGATGGTTCCATTCTTCCCACTAAGGATAGTGAGAACTTGTGTTTGTATGTAAAACAACAGGCTTTAAAGGGAGGAAAGATGTCAGTGGCCAGAGACCTCAGAATCTAAAGAACAAGGTGTAGGTGAGTTCCCTGAGAGTTATTTTTGGTCTTATGTATCTACATCTCACCAGAAATGCAAAAGGTACAAGCAAGAAACACTCTAAGCCAGTGGTTCTCAACCTACCTAATGCTGCAACCCTTAATCCAGTTCCTCATGTTGTGGTGACCTCCAATTACAAAATTATTTTGTTGCTTATTCATAGTTGTAATTTTGCTATTGTTGTGAATTGTAATATAAATATCTGTGTTTTCCAGTGATCCTAGGTGACCCTTGTGAAAGAACTGTTCAACCCCCAAAGAAGTTGTGAACCATTGCATTACGTAGGGTTGGCTGTCCTGGAACTCACTGTGTAACCCAGGCCATCCTCACACTCACAGAAATCTGCCTGCCTTTGCCTCCCATGTGCTGGAATTAAAGGAGGTCATCATTATGTACAGCTATAAACAAACTTGTAACAAATGATTTAAAAAAGAGACTTAAGCCAGGCACGGTGGCACATGCCTGTAATCCCAGAACTCTGGTAGGCAGAGGCAGGAGGATATCTTGAGTTTGAGGCCAGCCTGGTCTACAAAGCAAATCCAGGGCAGCCAAGGCTACACAGAGTAACCCTGTCTTGAAAAACAAAAACAACAAACAAACAAAAAAAGTCTCAGCAGAGAATGAATAGTTTTCACAAAGAAAAGACAATGAGGAAGAAAGTGCAGTTTTCAGATCTGAAAAATCCAATAATTGAAATAAACTCACCAGATGGTTTCAGTAGCAACATGGTAGGGGCAGAGGAAGAATCTACTTGTCAATCAACCCAAAGACAGAACAGTAGATGTTCTTTCTCCAACCAGAACGTTGAGAAAAACATTTTTACAAATCAGTACTCTAGGGCCTGAGGAGATGGCTTAGTGTCCTGAAGGAAGAATGGCCTGCAATCGCCATGCTATTTTCAAATGAATGTTCTTTTTCTGTATACAGCAAGAAGAAGCAAAAGACTGAAATAGCAAACAAGGGATAGCAGCCCATGAGATCAGACACTCACCTCATCGAGCAGAAAGTGACTGAGGAAGCTGGGAGAGCAGAGACAGACAGTTGGAGACCCTGATCTGAGCTCCAGGAAGGATGTCTTCTCTGAGGTGAGACTTCCAGTGAGCCGTTCCTACCACCGGATCCCTACATTCGGAGGGTGACTGGGAGCCAGCAGCCTATAGCTGGGATGAAGGACAGTGTTTTGACTCAAATACTTCACTCTCCTTCTTTTCTCCTGGACTTGGTATTTTTACTCTTTGGGACATTTTGCTGTCCAACTTTTCTCACAGGGCCAGCCAGCCAGCCCATCCCCAAGACATGGGGTCCTGTGAGACACTTTAAGAGAGACATGCTTGCCGTATTGAGTGTGTGTATGGGGTGGGGTGGGGGGGCCCAGGGTGGCAACCTTATGTCCACTCCCAGTTTCTCAGTGATCTTAAACAACGCAACAGTTTATTCATATAATGCGTGTTATGCTCAACCAGTGAAGTGAAGTGGCTTATAAGCATAAGGACATGAGGTCAGATCCCTAACACAGACATGAAAAACAAAAAAACAAACAGGCCTGGCAGCGTACGTCTGTAATCCCAGGACCGGGAAGGCGAAAGCGGGGCTTGCTAGCCAGCTAGTCCAACCAGCGAGTTTCAGGTGTGGGCACACGGAAGCAGTTAGCTCACCCTTTCTAGATTGCTGACTAGAAAGGAAAGGGGCCTAAGGCTCCGCTGCAGATATAGGGAAGCAGCCGGAGAAGAGAGCCTTACATGCTGGACAGTGGAAGATGGGCAGGCAGAGGTAGGAGAAGGAAAAGAACTGGCTCTGAGGAAGGAAAATGATGGTCGAAGATACATTTTTTACATTTTTTTTCCCTTCCTCCCTCTCTCTTTCTTTCTCTTTTAATTTCTGGTCTTCCTATCCCCGCTTTCTGTACTAGGATCAAAGGCATATGCCCCCATGTTCTGTTTATGGAGTTCTGGGGAACAAACCCAAGGCCTCTTACATCTAGGCAGGCACATTACCCATTTAGCAGTTAACACCCACCCCACCCCCGCGCGCCAAGTCTAAAGACATCCTATTTAAAGGAAGAGGAGGGAAACTGTGTCTCTCCTTTCAGTCACCTGCTGAAAGGAGGAGCAAGCCGCGATGAACGAACTGAAGGTTGAAGGCGCAGGAAGACAGAGACATTCGGGCAGCTTAACAAGCGAAACCGAACCCGCTACTTAAAGCTGTAAGATAACGAATTGTCCACTAGGTGGCCGTACCTACGGAGGCTCGCGTGTCCCGTCAACCCCGGCGCTCGGGGCGGAAGACGGCGCGGAGGTGACTCTCTGGCCCTCAACGCCGCCACTCGCCTGCCCCGACTGACGTTGGGCAACAAAGATGGCGGCGGGAACCAGCAATTACTGGGAAGGTGAGGGCGAGGCCTCCGGGTGGGTCCCGCCAAGTGCAGGGGGGACGTGAGGGAGGCCGCGGAGGGAAGAGCCAGGCCTCGGGGCCGGCACCCTGCGGGACGAGGTCCTGGAGGAACCGCGGGCTCGGGAACTCGGGGAAGAGGCTGGGGCGGAGTGAACCGGATCCGGGAAGGGGTTGGGTGGCGTGGAGGGAGCCGGGATGGACAGCAAGAGGCGCCTGCGTCTCCAGGTGGACCTCTCTGAGGGGTGGGGAGACATCAAGCATAGGGCTTTGGAGACCAACTCTTGGGGGGACAGTGTTGAGCGACAAGATCCAGAGCCAGGAAGACCAGTGATCAGAACCTTGGAGTTGAGGTCACTTAGAAAACTAAGACTGAGGAGGAACTTGTCAGTACCGGCCTTGGGGGGAGTTTGAGTGGAATGTCTCCTCCTGGATCTCTGTTGGCAACTGGAGATTGAGACTTCAGCGACGATCGGGTGACAGAATACTGAAAATAACTTTACCTTCTGTCTTGGAGTCCAAGATCGATTTTGTTAAAAATGATAAAGTTAAAGGGTTCTAATTATACAGTTGCCATTCTTCTCCGGCCAAGAAAACATTCATTCGTGTCTATTTAATTCCTGGAAATCTGGTCCCCTCAAGTGAGGTCATATAAAACTTTCCAGACCACGATGATCCACAAAAATCAGAAATGGCCCACATTTTTTTATTTAACTGTTTGTTTCTTTACTTTTTAAAACCTATTTCCCCTTTCGGTCCAGTGAAACACCTGGGAAGTATGGTATTGTCACCATCAGCCAGTTGACCTAAGGGACTGAATTTGAAGTTCCTATCCGTCATGTTTTCAAAATGCTTTCTACTTGATGTTTTCTGTTAGACAAACAAAACAAAGTAGAACTACAGAGAAACATGCCAATAGCTTAAAGCATTTACCTAAAATGCCCTTTGGAAATAGCTGTAGTAGATAGAATTTATTTTTAAATTGTGTAGAAGTGACTCCTGGCATCCTTGATAGTCATTTGGCTTTGGGTTATTGACACACATGCTGTAATATACCTTTGTGCCAAGGCTTTAAGCATGTATAGAAAAACCCTGAAGGCTGAGATTTTTATATTAACTGAATTGTCAGTAAATCTCAACAACAGTAGCTGACATTGGGACTGGGATATGGTCTCTGGGTAGATAGTCTCCTTCAATTCTGCTTCCTGCCTTTGATTGCAAAATACAGTGAAACCATGTTTTCATATTCTTTAGTCCTGAGACATTGTTATTTCTTTCTGTATTTTAGTCCTTTCGCTTGAGCTCTACTATGAGTAAGAACACTCAGACATACATACATATATATATGGGGGGTGGAGAATTCCAGGTCTGGCTTCTTTCATTCAGCCCTTTAGAAGCCAAGCTGTTGCATCAGTTTATGTCTTTGCTGATGCTTCTACTTTTAAAACATAAGCTTTAAAAAAAACCTGTTGCAGTTGTAGTCTGCTTTGTTCGTACTGCATTGGCTGTTCTTAACCTCTGCTTTCCCCTCCAGTGTTTTTGAAAAAGCAATTATTTTTTGTTGATTTGCTTTTTCTTTGTGTTTAGTATCTAAGGTATTTTGCCTGTACGAAAAGAATCCCAAAATCTTAACAGAGCTTTGAAACATAAGAAAAATCTGTCAAGAGGAATACTGGCTGCTTATAAAGGTAGCTGGTAAATTGATGTGGTGGTTATAAACCATTTTTGTTTCTTTATGATTTATATTGTCTGCTTGTTTTTCATGTTACAACATTTGCTTATTGCTGTAAAATAATCTCAGGGATATTACAGCATTTGTTGGCAAGCTTCTTTTTTTTTTTTTTTCTTTTTCCTTTTTGGTCTTTTGAGACAGGGATTTTCTGTGTAGCCTTGGCTGTCCTGGACTCGCTCTGTAGACCAGGCTGGCTGGAACTGGAAGTGATGCGCCTGCCTCTGCCTCCCCGAGTGCTGGGATTATAATCATGCGCCTGCTGGCTGTCAAGCCGTCTTTGAAAGAAAAGTGACAGGTTGTTTCTCCCCCCTACCACTTCCCTCACTGCTCCCATCTGAAGGTTACGGACTTGGCTACTTTACTTTCTTGGGATGTCTTCGGTTTCTGGGGAACTAGATCAGAGTATGTGATCATTTTCATAGTTGGCTTTCTTCAAAATAGTCATGATTTTAACATTTACTGATGGACTAATGATTTACTTTTGTAATTTTCTTAAAGATCTCAGGAAACAAGCTCGACAGCTGGAAAATGAACTTGACCTGAAACTAGTTTCCTTCAGTAAACTGTGTACGAGTTACAGTCACAGCAGCACCCGGGACGGAGGACGGGATAGGTATAGGTACTGCCGGATCTTGTTCACCTTAAACTATGTGACTTTTTAAAAGTAAACTGAGATACAGACTCTGTGACTTGATCTGCTGGTGAATTGTTGATAGTTTGCTTTCGTTGTCATTACGTGTATCTTACTGAAATTTTTCGTATTTCTTGAGACTAACATTTGAGATTTTTAGACAAAGCTTGTGATAGCTCAGTAAGAAACTTCTAGAGTTTTAAAGATGAATTTGTCAATAACAGTTTCTGAAGCCAGGCCTGTGCACACCTGTTCCAGCACTTGGAGGCCAAGACGGGAGACACGATTGCAAATTCATTCTGAACTCCATGACAGATCAAAGATTTCTCAGGCAGGCCGCAGAAGTGTCAGCTTTGCCTACAAAGATTTTTGTTTTGTTTTGTTTGTTTGTTTTTCCAAGACAGGGCTTCTTTGCATAGCCCTGGCTGTCCTGAAACTCACTCTATAGACCAGGCTGGCCTCAAATTCAGAGCTCGACCTGTCTCTGCCTCCCCATTGCTGGGTTTAAAGACACGAGCCACCACTCCCCGGAGAATTTCTGACTGGAACTGAGGGGCTGCCCAAATGCAAAGTGTGCAAACTTTTTCTGGGGCTCACTTTCGAGTGAATCGAGTGTGGGGTCCTCATAATCATGGGAGCCAGTTTTAACATTTTCTTTTCAGAACTCCGCATACTACAACTCAAGGAAAATCATATTTTTAAATCTTATGATTACTTAAGTTAATCAATTATTTTAAAGATCAGGAAATATTTGAGATACTTAGAAATATAAGGAATAGCATTGTGAGCCCTTTTTTGTTAGTATCTATTTTTAAAAAATAATTATTGCAAATTGAAATGAAGCTGCTAATAGATTCCCACGTTGTTTTTCTCATTTACATATAAATGTCACTATTTTTGTTACATATAATGGTATTTCTAGGCAACCCATAGTATTTTACAAAAGCTATTTTGCAGCTGGCTTTTATGATTTAACATTATCTTTGAAGTTCAGCTGTGAGTGTTTTTAACTCTATTGTCTTTATTTGCTACATATATTAAACAATAGAATTTAATTATTTGGTGGACATTTCTATTTTTTGCTAATTAATAATTTTAATAGCTAACATAATCACTATGCTGTAAGTTCTGCTCTTACAGCTTTGTATGAATGCTTCTCTGAATATTTTCATCCAGATTATACTTATGTATACACGCTGCCTGAGATCGTTGCTAGCAGAGTTGTCATTTCTGTATTTTTCTTTTTGTTTTTGTTTTTCTGAGACAGGGTTTCTCTATGTAGCCTTGGCTGTCCTGAACTCACTTTATAGACCAGGCTGTCCTCTAACTTACAGAGATCCACCTGCCTCTGCCTCCCTGAGTGCTGGGATTATAGGCTTATTCCACCACACCCAGCATTTCTGTATTTTTCAAAGGCTAGTGGAGGATGAATTTTTTTTTTTAGCTAATAGTGAAAACAACAAAACTGAGATTGAATCTGAACTTACACCTTCTCTCTCTAGAACCTGTGTTCTAAACATGACCATATTATATACATTCCAACAAAATCTCTTTCACTATTGCAGCCAAAGTGTTGTTCTTTTTTTCATAAGGGCATATGGCTTGCAGAGTTAACGGGGCCATTGTGTTGATCTTCAGACCTAAACATAAGTTAGTAGCATGCCCAGCATGGCTTTGGACACTTTCATTCACCAAGTAAGGAGAGTGAGGATTTTTTTTTTAACATTCATTCCTTCTTTTTTTTTTTTTTTTTTTTTCTTTCTTATTTATTACAATGTATTTACTTTATATCCTGGCTATAGCCCCTCCCCCTGTCTCTTCCTAGCCTCACTTACCCTCCCTCTTCTCCCCCTATGCTCCTTCCCTAGTCCACTGATAGGGGAGGACCTCCTCCCCTTCCATCTGACCCTAGCCTATCAGGTCTCATCAGGACTGGGCTGCATCATCTTCCTCTGTGGCCCAGTAAGGCTGCTCCCCTCTCAGGTGGAGGTGATCAAAGAAGTAGCCCATGAGTTCATGTCAGAGACAGCTCCTGATCCCCTTACTAGGAAACCCACTTAGAAACTGAGCAGTCTATGGGCTTCATCTGAGCAGGGGGTCTAGGTCCTTTCCCTGCATGGTCCTTGGTTGGCGTATCAGTCTTTGCAGGCCCTCTGAGCCCAGGTTTTTTGGCTCTGTTGGTCTTGAGGAGCTCCTTCCCCCTCCAGATCTTTCTGTCTCCCCATTCTTTCAAAAGGTTCCCTGCACTCTATAGTTGGCTCTGACTCAACTATATTCATAGCGGCTTCATTCATAATAGCCAGAATCTGGAAACAATTTAGATCTCCCTCAACCAAGGAATGGATACAGAAATTGTGGTACATTTACACAATGGAATACTACTCAGCAATTAAAAACAAGGAAATCATGAGGTTTTTGTTTTGTTTTTTTAATGAGTAAATTTTCAGAAAGCTTTTTTTTTTTCCTGGATTTAAGGCTTACATTTGTTTTTCAGTGAGTATACAATTTTAAAACTCAAGTCTGTCAGGAAATACTATTGCAGGGTGTTTTTCCTGTGTTCTTTGCTGGAGATTCCCTTAAAAAAAACCACATCTTGAAAACATTCAGATTTCAGCAGCAGCTTGGGACTGATTCTGCTCTCCACAGAGCCTAAGGTTGTAAGGACGTGGGCGGAGGCTGTAACTCAGTGCAGGGACTGTAATCCCCAGCACCGGAGAGTAAAGGCAAGACTGAAAGTCTGACTGCTCCATCTGGTGCCTGTTTGAAGCTTGTCACATGAAGAGTCAGCAGTGGGCAGAACTTTTCTTATAGGATCATCACACACCTATCAAGTGGATTAAATGTGACTCTTGACTCCTGATATTGTAGAGAACGATTTTGACTATTTCCCTAAGACTGGCGATTATGGACCATCCAGTAGTAGAGATTGCCTTGTTACTCATTCAACAGATCTTTAAAGAACAGTAAATAGTCACCATTTGCCAGGTGCTGGCATATGTCTATGAAAAAGACAGGCAGTTTTCTTCTTGACTTCTACTGGCCCATTGTTCTTAAATGTATCTGGCAGGAGGGTTTATTAGTGGTGTACAGAGCTCTTTTTCTAGGAGATACTGCACAGCTTTGGCTTAGTTGTGACACAATTAAGAACTGATCCCAACCCCACACTATTCTCTTATTTTCTCTTGTCACTGTGTAGCCCAAGCTGGACTTGCCCTGTTACTTTCCATGTTTTTATGTCATGTTGCATGACATACAAATGGCAATGTTTAAGGAGGAAATAAAGCTTAAGACCTGGTTAAATAAACATCTAAAATAAGAATCCTTATTAAAGCCAGGCATGGTACATTCCTGTTATCCTAGCACTTAGAGAATGGAACAGAAAGAGCACAAGTTCCAGGTTAGGTTGGACTGTGTACACAAAGCAAACCTCCAACTTGAAGGGGAAAAAATCTGGAGCTGGAGAGAGAGCTCAGCAGCTATGTATGAGCTCTTACTGCTCTTGCAGAGGACCCAGGGTAGATTCCCAGCAACTACACGGCCACACTCACAACTGCCTGTAACTGATTCCAGGGAACCTGCTGCCCTCTCCTGGTCTTCCCAGCCTGTGTGCACACGATGCACCTAAACTCACGCAGGCAGAGAAGCACACTCATAACTAAAGTTAACAAATAGTCTCTAAAACCTTCTTCTTAGCCACTTTTTGGCTGTTTCACTGATTGGTTTGTGGTGAAAGTAAACAGATAAGGGGAACAGTGGTAGCTACCCTTTAACCTTTGGGTTGCCACATTCAGATGCTGTATAAAGTCGGGAGTAGGCCGCCGCTCAGGTTGGAGAGTGTAGTTCATTCTGTTTGTGTTGGGAGTAACTGGCCTACGTGGGCATAGGTCCAGCATAGGTCCCTGATAAAAGGTATTGGCTTGCCAGAAGAGACAAGTGAAACTTCGAGAATTTGAGTTTGTCAGACATCTTCATCTGTAAGAAGTCAGATTTCTGGCCAGCTATTGTGATACAAAGAGACGGTCAACCGTTTTGTAAGCTAGTCTGAAGTGGGTGCATGCTGTGAGTGGAGCTGTGGAGAGCTGGTGAAAGTATGCTGGGCATGGCTCAGTTTCCCTGAATGCTGTCTCCTCATTCCTTCCTAACTGCTTACCTCATCAACTGAGGCAAATCTGTTTATTTCTGGATAGGAGTCGTTAAAGGAAGAGAGAATTTAAAGGCATCAGAAACTGTGATTTGGGAGAAAAGCTGAAGATTGTTTCTCATAGGCCCCATGACATATTCTATAACCCATTTTTTCTTCACTATTATAAGGAATTTTTGTCTTCTTTTTCATTATTTGTTCTTTCAAATTCAGAATTTAAGTTACTTAGACAATTTTCTATCATTTGGAGAATAGTACACAGCATTTAGAATGTCTATATTCACTTATATTTTGTACTGTATTTAGTATTTCAGTCCTTACATTTTGATGTTTATATAAGTATTTAGTGCTCGTGTTTTAGTGCAGCGTTTAGGGTGTGTGGGACTGTTTTGAGAGAAGGAGAAAGTCATAGTTGCGTTTTTAAAGTTGCAGTTATTTATGTGGAGGGACTGACGTGTGCACTCACAGAGGACAACTTTGGGAGTCCATTCTTTCCCTCAGGCATCAGGCTCAGCAGCAAGCACTTTACCCACTGAGCCAGTAAATCAGTCTTTAAAGAAAGAGAAGGAATGTTTTGGGTTCATTTGACCTCCTTAAGGAAAGTCACCCCGTTATTTGAAGGATGTTTTAAAGGGCTAAGTAATGGATTTTTTGTTTTAATTGAACTTCTCTTTAGTTCTGACACAACACCCCTATTAAATGGATCAAATCAAGACAGAATGTTTGAGACAATGGCAATCGAAATTGAACAGCTTTTGGCAAGGGTAAGTTCTGTGGGTAAACAGTAGTTTGCTGTTTGCCAGCTATGGTTCTGCATTATATTGTTCATTGAAACCAGCCTTTCAGGGTGTGTTTTTCCTCCAGCCACCTGAATTTTAGCCAAATTGTAACATGGTTTTTTTGGGAATTGCTGGTTTGACTGGGTCTTGTCTTGTTTACTGTCAGCCAAGAGGACTTGTCGGCAGGTAACGTACCTGAGCCATTTTTAGCGCTTTTTGAACTATTTTCCTCTTTCCTTTGTAGCTTACAGGGGTGAATGATAAGATGGCAGAGTACAGCAGCAGCGCGGGGGTCCCCTCGCTGAACGCAGCGCTCTTGCACACGCTGCAGCGGCACAGGGACATTCTGCAGGTGAGATGGCGCGATAGTCGGTTGGCGTGCTACCCTCACACGGCACCGTGAGGGGGGCTGATTAACTGTATCGAAGATTATCTTAGCAGATACCAACAGCGTGACAGAACACATGTTTAAAGAGTCACTAGGTAGTGTTAAAGTACAGAAATATGGATTGGACGGCAAACCTTTTTATTACTGAGAAAATTAATCAGCCATATGATTTAAGAGCACTTTAAAAATTGGTACATAACCTTATTTTATTTTATTTTTTTTTTTGAGAGAAGGTTTCTCTGTATAGCCCTGACTGTCCTGGACTTGCTGTGTAGACCAGGCTGGCCTCAAACTCACAGAGATCTGCCTGCCTCTGCCCTCCTGAGTGCTGGGATTATAGGTGTGCACCACTGCACCCCTGGCTGGTGTACAACTAGCATTCAGGGTTAGAGGGAGGCCAGTCTCAGCGAGTTGAAGGATAACCTAGTCTATATAATGAGTTCCAGGTCAGCCAGGACTACACAGTGAGACCCTATCTTGTGGTGGTGGTGGAGGTGGTGGAGGATGACAGGAATAGGAGCCTGGAGAGATGGCTCTGTGGGTCTGAGTACTTGCTGTGAAAGCAAGAGGATCTGAGATCAAATCTCTAGAACCTATATAGAAGTCAAGATGGCCATGTATACCTTCTGGAAGATGGAGACAGATGATCCTACGACCTTGCTGCCAGCTATCTAAGCCAAACAGTAAGCTTTAGATTTATGAAGAGATCCTGTCTTAAAAACTAGATTGAGAGCAATAGAAGGAGAGAACCATGTTCATTTCTGGCCTCTGCATACACGTGCATAGGAAACACACATGCATACACACATACAAGCAAGGATAGGAATCTGTTTTGATGCTTCTTTGTGTTTTTACATTTATTTACTTGGTCTTAAACTCAGGTTGTCAGGCTCGGCAGCAAGTGCCCTTACCTGCTGAGCTTTCTTGCTGGCCCACAAATAGAGATTGGAGTGTGATGACACCTCGCTATAATCCCACCTACAAGACAGAGGCAGGTTGGAGTCAGCTTGATCGGCAAAGTGAATTCCACGCCAGCGAGGTCTTCACAGTGAGGCCTCATCTTGAGGAAAACAACAGAAGGAATGAAGAGTAGTTGAATGGTAGAGTTTGTGACTAGCATGTACAAGCCTTACTTTCAGGCTTCAGCAGAGCAGGTACATGCCTGTGCACTCGCTCACACAATTTGCCTCATGCAAAAATGTGTACATCCGGTTGAGAGCTGGGATTATGACCAGTAGGTAAAACACTAAAAGTGTTCTCACCAAAGAAAAAGGGAATAGGGAATACAGCTCAGGGGGTAGAGTGTACACAAAGCCCCGAGTTCAGTTCCCGGTTCTGCTGGTTCAGACCTACAGTCCCAGCACTTAAAGGGAAGAAACAGGAGAATCAGAAATTCAAGGCCAGACCAGACTAAGTTAGGCCCTGAATGAGAGAAGAAGAGAAAAAAGAAAAGAAAAGGGTACTTATAACCACTATAAATGTCTGACATTGTTTTGGAGTTTCTCATTGGTACAGTTAAAAACAAAACAACAACAATAACAAAAAAAACCCAGCAAAATCTGAGAGATAAATATTAGAAAGGAAGAGGCAAAATACCTAATATGTGGCATAAGATCATGTATGTCTGATGCATCAAGAAAATTAAATGAAAAAAGTTAGAAACAAATTCAGCAAGATGGTATATATAAGAAAAGCCATTGTTTTCTATACACACAATGACCTATTAGAAAATTTAATGAAAGGGGTTGGGGGCAGGAATAGCACAGTAATAGTATAAATAAGGCCTTTATTCAGTCACTGGTGTCAAAAAAATGAAACACACAAAGCCAAGTGATGGTGTTCACCTGTAATCCTGGTATTTGGGGGGTGGAGACAAGAGGATCAGGAATTCAAGACCAGCTTGTAGAGTTAATGAAACCTTACATACACCTATAGGAGGAAAAAAAAAAAATAGGAGATTAGTTTTGTTTGGGGCAGGTTCTATGCTCTAGCTTTGTAATCCATACTTTTCCTGATTTTCAATACTCCTGCCTCAGCATCCAAATAATAAAGTTCCAGGCATGTGCCCATGCTCAGATTTTTGTTTTCTTTCCTTTTTTTTTTTTTTTTTTTTTTTTGTTGTTGTTGTTGTTGTTGTTGTAATTATTTTTACTTTTGAGAGAGTTTCCTTTACCACAAACTGTCCTTGAACTCCTGACCCTCTTACTCTACATCCCAAGTACTGGGATTACAAGTGTGCACCACCAAGCATACCTTTTTTTTACTTAATTTAGAATGCCAAGATGATACCAAAGTTCATTTAGAATCCTATAAAAATAACCAAGAATAAAGCTTAATACAGTTCTGAAAGTGAAGATGAGTATTTAATTCTACTAGATGTTAAAGCCTGTTAAAAAGCTAAGATAATTGATAGTTTGTTTCTAGGGGCCAGCCAAGAGGCTTCTGGGTAAAGGCACTTGCTGTGAAGCCTGATGAGCTGAGTTCATTCCTTGGAACCAATGTGGAAGGAGAGAACTAACTCCTGGAAGTTGTCCTCTGACCTCCGCACATGCACTCACACCCACACGCACATGCATAATAAACGGTGAAATTTCTTTAAAGATAGTTGTATGTGTGCCCTCGAGTGCATACTCACTCAGGTGCAGGCACGCAAGTGTGTGGAGGGCAGAGGTCAGGCCTTGGTAGTTTATTGTTCCTTAGGTTTTTGAGGCAGGGTCTCACTGGGACCTGAGGTTTGCCAGTTTGGCTAAGATGACTGGCCTGTGAGCCACAGAGCTCCTCCATCTCTGCCTCCTCGCTGCTGGGGTTACAGGGTCGACTATCACCGAGCTTTTTACAGCCCATATGCCATCAGATAGGGCCTCTCTCTTTCTCTTTTTCTCTCTCTTTCCCCTACCCCCTCCCTCCCTTTTCCTTCTTCCTCCTCTCCCCAAAGGTTTAAATGTAGAAAAAGCATAGGAAGGGAGGGGAGGAAAGAAAATCTTTAAGAGTTCTGAATAAAGCATGGATGAAATGTCTACATTCCTGAGCAGTGAAGAGCTAAGAGATCTAATGTGAGAAACTACAACAAATGACTCAGTTGTTTAACACAAAAGTAATGTAAATAAGAAAGACAATAGTTAAATGGACAAAAAAAAAAAAATTACTTAAAAATGAACTGAGGGTGTAGCTCCGTTGTAGAGCATTTGTTTTGCATTTGCAAAGCCCTGGGTGGGATCCTCAACACTGAGGGGAAGGTGGGGAAAAGGGTGAGGGTTTGAAAACATAAGCTGTAAGCCTTATTAAAGTACACCATTCAGGAGAAAAATCTCTCCCCTTTTTACCCTAGGCTATTTGAAGTCTTTCTGTCTTAGAATATTTTTCCTTGTAGTTCTGTTGTATGTGATAAGGTAGTAGAGCACTTAGTGTTTTGAAATGTTTCCTGATGACCATGCACAAGTACTCTAGAAGGATAAAAGTGCATTAATAGTTTGTGTTGAGACTGGATGTTGATTTATTTCAGGATTATACACATGAATTCCATAAAACCAAAGCAAACTTTATGGCAATACGGGAAAGGGAGAATCTCTTGGGATCAGTACGAAAAGATATTGAGTAAGTTACCTTTCTGTTGCTGTATAGAATGTTTATGTCGGTTCAGACTGTGTCTGTGGTTAATTGCAAACTGAGTAGCACAACCAGAGTTTAGATTTCGGGGTTTCTGATTTCCATTCTGTTGATTCTGTGCCTTGCTACAGTGTGGGCTGAATCTACTTTGTCATCTCTCAGTCTTTCTGTGAACCCTTGCCAACCTTAATCTTAAGTCCAGCTTGAATGATCCCTTCCCACCGACGCTAAGAAAGGCATGCTTGCCATAACTGAAGGTTCCATTTCCCAGTCTCTTGTTTCTCTCTCTCTTGCCCTGGCACTTACATAAGCTTTCCTGAAATTCTGAACTATGTTTGTGTGGGGCCAGGGGTTTCCAGGTTTAATACAAAATCAAAGCCTTAGTTGAGACTAAGGACTTCCAGCATTTTACAGTGATCTCAGTCTGGAAAATTTGTTTTTAAGTTTTCACATCTAAACTTGACTGATGAAAGTAAGTCCTGTGGAGTATCTGATGCTGAAGATTTCCTGTTTTGGTTTTGTTTTCTTGAGGAGTAGGCCAGGCTGGTTCAAACTTGTGGACCTCTGATCTCTGCTTCCCAAGGGCTGAGATGGTAGGTGTGTTTCCACCTAGACAGTTTTCCCATTTTGGACCATCTAATGATACTACCATGGTCTCATTTGTGTTATCAACTAGGACATGCACTCATCACAAACTAGTACGTGTATATGTGCTCTGAGTTCAGAATTTTAAAAAATCTGTTCTTAAAGGCCATGTGTGGCTCACACCTTTAATGTCAACACCTAGGAGGCAGAGGCAGGCAGATCTCTTAAGTTTGAGGACAGCCTGGTCTACAGCCAGGGCTACACAAAGAAGTCCTGTCTTGAAAAAAAAAAAAAAGAGAGAGAGAGAGAGAGAGAGAAAGAAAATGCTTTTGATATTTATTAGTGGAAAGCAGGAGAGTGTGGATCGAAGTAAAGGTCGCCTTTGTTAATCTTAATGTGTCTGATCAACATGGAAGCCCTGAAGTGTGCCAAGACTGAACAGTTGGGTTGCAGTGTTCCTCAGTCTTCGGCTGCTTAGTGGCTCTTGCTGCTGTGGAGGATAACATCAGTTCAGCAGCTTTCTTGGCCCATGTGCAAAGTTTTGCTACTACTGGAGAAAACGATACAGAAGTTAATACACAAAGGACAAGTAAGATCCCTTGTTAAGAAGCTTGGGTTGGTTAAAAAAAAAAAAAAAAAAACCTAGATCTAAGCTGGAGAAACATTTGTCTTTGGCCTCTGTGATACTAGTTTTTGAGGGAAATGAAAGAATTGTATTCTGGTGGTTTACTTGACTGTGGAGAGAAGTCTGCTTTCTTTTGCTATCACCGGGTTAGTCCCTTAACCTGATGTTGCAGGATCTTCTAAAATGTTCTCGCCTTTTCTTGACTTTGCTGTAGGTCATATAAAAGCGGGTCTGGAGTGAACAATAGGAGAACTGAACTGTTCTTGAAAGAACATGACCACCTTCGAAAGTGAGTACTGCCTGCTCCCCTCTGTGCTGGTCCATTTAGCCCTAAAGACGGTTATTAGGGTAAGGGTTTGGCTGGTGAGAAGCCAGCCTGCAGTGACTTCACCTGAGTGGGGGTGGGTGGCAGTGCATCAGCCAAAAGTTAAAGCTGCCCTTTGAGGATTTCACTCTGCTTTTTGTCTGTCTTACCTTTTAACCAGCAGTCTGCTGTGCTGCTGTTATCCCTACTGCAAGTTATTATTGGTATCCATAGTAATAATAATGATAATCTAGGTTTGAATGGTCTCTTACCACTTATTTATTGAAGAAACTTTATAAAGAGGAATAAGGCCAAATATCAGATGCAAAACAAACAACAACAAGGTTTCAGGAGAAAATGATTTAAGTATATATGTGTTTTAGAACAAGCCCACATTCTACTCCTGTATCATTTTTCTCCATAAAAAATAAAGAACTTTTTTTTTCTCGTTTGTATTTTGTGGTAGAACCTAATGATCAGAATAGTTAGCTCTGAGCTCAGCTTGTTAGCCCTTGAGTATAGTAAATGTTAGGAATTAGTTTGCCATTTGCTACTGAATGTCATTAATTACTTATGCCTGCTAAGCTTAAGGCGGTGTTGAATTCATTGGCCTTTAAAGGCCACCACTTTAAATATAAACTGTTAAAATCAAGGCACAAGGGACTGGAGCAGTAGCTCAGTGATTAAGAACATAGCTGCTCTTGCAAAGTACCTGGACCCAATTCCCAGCATCTATTGGGCTGCTCACAATCATCTGGAACTCCAGTCTCCAGGGAATCTAATACCCTCTTCTAGCCTACACAAGCACCAGGCACATGTAGGCAAAACATCCATATACATAAAAATAAAATGAAAAGAGGGGTGGTGGTGCATGTCTGTAATCCCAGTACTTAAGAAGGTGAGTCAGAATGTTGCTTTGGCCCACCAGTTTAAGACCCGTCTGGGCAACAGAGTAAGAGTGTGTCTCAGAACTCATGTACGCATGTATACACACACACCCCAAAGTCTTACATGTGGTTTTGAGGACTGAAATCATGCATGAACTACCCATGTGGCCAATTAAGGTCTTTTTAGAAGTCAAGGTTCTTCTAGTGTTAGAACTAGTTATTTTTGTATTGTTTTTTACTTTTATTATCTCTCTTTGTATGTTTGTGTACATGTATGTGTGTATATACATATATATGTATATGTATATATATGTACTACATTTATAGTATAGAGGCCTGAGATTGGGAATAAGCCTCTCACTTCCACTTTACTCATTAAGGCAGGGTGTTGTTGGTAATAAAAATTGGTGTTGGGCTAAGTAATGTTATTATTATCCCTGTAATTATTATGGCAGTATTATTTAACCTGCTATCACAATTAATAAGACACTGACACCTGTTAGATTTATAATTGCCTTATTTACCTTGGGCTGGGCAGCTATTTCTACCTACACTATCTCATGACCCTTCCATCCACCACCTCCCAGCCCCCATCCAACGCCACCCACCTTAACCATTTCTATCCGGGCTACCTTCCATCCATAATCTTATAAATACTTGCATATATATAGAACAGAGAACAAGTTCTGGGAATCTATTCCCTCATTCTACCATGTGGGCTTCTACCATGTGGCAGCATGCTGAGTCATCCTTTGGGGCCCTACTTATTCTATTATTTGTTGAGTATTATTGATTATTACAAGGGGCAGTTTCTTCTAGAGAACGTTTAGTTGTAGACCTATATAGCCTTGGTAGTTGTTGGATTAAGATGACCATGAAAAAAACTTTGCATTGCATCTAGAACTATATCAGTATATTCCTGGAGTAGAGTTATTCCAAAGGTGCTATATCCAAGTGTAAAAATAAGATTGTGTTAGTGTTTCTGTATTTATTGCCTCAAAAAAGGACAGTTAGCTGGGCATGGTAACATGCTTATATATTCCAGAATTTAAGAAACTGTGACAGGAACCTATCTATTTTAAAGCCAGCCTGAGATACATAGTGAGTTCCAGGCCAGCTTAGGGTAGGCAGTGGGACCTTCTCTCAAAGTAAGAAACACTGGGCATGGTGGCATACACCTTTATTTCCAAGCAGAGACAGGCTGATCTCTGTGAGTTCGAGGCCAGCCTGATTTACAGAGCAAGTTCCAGGACAGCCAGGAAGAAACCCTGTCTCACCCCCTCCCCCCCCAAAAAAAAAAAGTAGAAACCATTAAAGATCAGAAATATAGTAATTTACTTCAACAGGAATGATTTGGGCTGGAGAGATGGCTCAGTGTATGTAAAGTGCTTATTGCATAGGTATGAGGACCTGAGTTCAAATCTCCAAAGCTTATGTAAAACCAGATGTGGTAGCCTGAGTCTGTAATGTCAGTGCTCTGACAGTGAGATGGGAGGAGATGGGGAAATCTGAGGTTCCTGGCCAGCAGCCTGCCTTACACAGCAGCAGACAAGAGTCCTTTCTAAGTGAGGTGAGCAATGAGACTGCACCCACGGTTGTCTTCTGGTCTCTACACACACACACACACACACACACACACACACACACCATATACGTGTATATGTATATAACACATACACATAAGGAAAAAATTATTTGAAATCCAACAAGATGGCTCAGAGCGTAAAAGGCACTTACCACCAAGCATGACAACCTGAATTTGATCCACAAAGAAATTGATTTCTACAAGATGTCATTTTGTTTCCACAAGTGTGTTGTGGTATGTGCACGCTCACAATCATACACACACGTGCACACAAAAATAATTAAGATGTAATGAAAAATATTCTTAAAATATTGATATTTAAAAAGGTATGCCAGAATAACAATTCACATTAATACTTTTATTTCAGGACTTCAGAACATATTGTACATTATATTTATAGTAATTTTTCAGAAAGTTTTACCTTTATTTTGATTATTTACATTAATCTTTTAGGAGTTTATTTATGGGAAAAGTTTAAGTACATATATCCAATTTGTCTAAAGTTGTAAAAACAAGGATGAGAAAATAGAAATTGTTGTATCTTGGTTTTGTTTCAAAGAACCTTATATATATTTCTTTAAACTTTCTTGTGAAAAAAAAAAACTGAAGCAGGAGGAAGTTGAGTGAAACAGGGTCTTGATATGAGTTAGAGGGACCATTAACATGTAGAAACTAGATGTAGTCATTACTCTCAGGGGAAGAACAGTTTCTGAATGTGTTTGGCCTTATTTCATCCTCCTCCCTCAGCTCTTCAGATCCACCTCCACTTCCTTTCCCACCCAACTTTGTGTCCTTTTTTTCTCCCATCAAGATCAGTTTGTGCAGTCCAGATATTCTTGGATATGTGACCTTCCACCGCAGTGTGGTCTGTTTGTCGTGGGCTACACTTGTAGAGGAAACTGACCCTTTCGTTGTCACTACCTGGAATTTGGTCTAGCTTGGGCTTGCACAGATGTTGCCATGTCTCACAGCCTGTGTGAGTCCCTATGTGTGTCTACCCTCTGCGTCCAGAAGACACTGGTTGGTAGTCATCAAGCAAGTCTGGCTCTTGCACTTTTTCTTCCTTGTCTTCCACAACAAGCCTGAGCCTCTGGAAGAGGCATATAGAAGATCCCTTCAGGGCTGGAAATTCTGTCGCCTCTTAGTCTCTGCATCTTGGCCAGTTTTGGGTCTGTTTTAATCATCACCTGCCACAAGCAAAAGCTCTCACTTGAGCGTTGAGCAGAGCCTTAGTTCATGGATATAATGATAAGTCACTAGGAGTTTAGTATTACTGTGTCCATTTATCAGAGTAATAGTAGTAAATTCTCTCCTGAAGTCTATAACCCGGAATGCTCTTAGCCCCATCATGATGTCAGGTAGAGTTGAGCTGGCGGAGTGGGACTGACATCTAGTCAGGGAGTGGTTGGTTACTGCCGCGCTGTTTGTGCCGCTGTCGCATCAGTGGGCGTGTCCTCCCGGGCCAGTCATTGTAGTTTGCTGGTTTTGCAGCTGTAGGATTAATGCTTACTTTCCGTCCAGTAAGATAGAATGGAGGTCCTTCTGCAGCGTTGGGCAAGCATGTTATCGCTTGTACACCCCTGGCCCTGTGACTGTGTGTGTAATACTGTATTTTCTGTTGTAATGAATATAATGAGATCCGTAGGTGAGGCTGAAGCGTGCAGATGACAAATTTGAGGCAGGACTGAACAACAGAGTGAAACTTTGTCCCCCAAAAGAAACAGGGTCAGAGAAATGACTCAGTGGATAAAGACACTTAGCACCAAGCCTGATGACCTGAGATCGATCTAAAGACCTTGGTGGAAGAAAGGAGCCACTTCTGGAAGTTCTCTCTGACTTCTGCATATGCACTGTGACACTGTGTACACACACAGGTTAAATTGAAATGTACTTTTATATGTGTGAGGGTTTTACCTACATATATGTGTACTGCATGCATGCCTTGTACACGAAGAAGCTGAAGAGGCTGCCAGACAAAGACGGCTGTAAGCCATCGTGTCAGTGGTGGGAACTGAATTCAATTTCTTCACAAGAGCATCAAGTGCTCTTAACTGCTGAGCCCATTTCAGCCCCTGATTTAAGAACAACAACAGCAACAAATAGATGTAAAACAAGGTACTTGGAGATTCTGTAAATATGCTCTCTACTCAAACTGTTCTCACTGAGTTCATTTCTGGATTTTACTGCAGTGTTCTGGCGATTTTGTTTTTGTCCTCTCTATATTTGTTTTAGATCTATGTGGAAGAGTTGTCTCTTCATCAGCATGGACTCAGATGCAGTGGGTTCTTGTCTAGGACTCTAGTTGCTTTGTTGCTTACATCATTGGCCCTCCTTTGGGTTAGCATCTGTCGTTTGACATGTGTTGTTCTGGGATACTTCCTATAGTTGCTGGTAGCATGTAACATTTATGGCTTGTGTTGTGTTTTCCCTCCCTCTGCTCAGTCACCTCACAAAGCAACCTCAGGGTTTTTATTGGCGTATATTACTCAGGATCTTAGATCTAGGTGTAAGGA